AAAAAAAAATCACTAATTAATTTATTCGTGAGGCAACCTAAATGTTAGAGGATCCATTTGTCATACTTTTTTTAATAAAAGTGCATACACTATAATTTAATAAATATGCAAAAATAATATGTTTACGTTGTTTTATAAAATATAACACTTTAGCATAGCAATATTGCTTTTAGAGTATGCTTAGTAACAAGAAGGTCTGGTCTATCGTTTTGGAAAAAAAAAAATAAATAAAAAATAAAAAATGTTTGGTTATAACAACACACTTACTCATCTTTTTATAATTAAAAAAAAAAAGATTACTTTAATAGAATTGAGGCGAGTTATTAGAGATTATAAGAGGGATAAATGTTTCCCATTACAGAATCATTTTGGAGTTTATAACCCTTAGATCATCATGTAATCGTCGGGGATAATTGATCTAACGGTTACAAACTCCGATGGAATAGTTCCGTAACCGAGCGCACCATCTCCCTGTAATAGGTTTTAGTTTATTAATTTTGGAGTTTGCCAAAAAAGAAAAGGTGAAAACTCACTGCTAAATAACCGTTGTCTCATGAAAAGCTCTCTTTAACACGCGGCCAAAATCCATAGGGTCTAATAAGCTTCCCCTTAATTACCAGCTTATCTTTCAAACCCATCTCATCTCATCTCTGCTTTTATCAACACCATCATATATATTTGGCATTTCTCACTTTAATTTAACCTTTTCTCTCTCTCTCTCTCCCCATTTACTCGTCTTTTGCCCGCCAACTAACTTTGTTTCTTTTGTCAGTTTCCCGGTGGCCGGAGCCGATGCCATGCCGCCGGAAAACTCTGTCTCCGCCGCAAACGACGCGCACAAGGGTTGTTATTATCCCGTGCCGCTTGCCTCACATGAAGACGTGGTCAACGACCCCACCCTCTTCGTCAACACCCTCAGAAGCTTCCATTTTGCCATGGGCTCCAAATTCCAGTAAGCCCCTTTTTTTCTTTTTTCTCTTACTTTTCCCACTCTTTTTTTTGAATTATTATTATTATTATTATTATTATTATTATTATTATTATTATTATTATTATTATTATTATTATTATTATTATTATTATTATTATTATATTATTATTATTATTATAGGATTCCAGTAATTGGGGGGAAGGAACTCAACCTGCATGTACTGTATGCGGAGGTTACTAAAAGGGGTGGTTTCGATAAGGTTAAATCGGTCATTTCATTATTTCTTTTACTAACATATATCCATTAAATTTCCATTTTTTTTTACCTATATCTTAATTTTGAAATAAAAATTCTGAATTAACAAAATAAAAATAAAAATTCTGAATTAACAAAAAAATGCAGGTGGTGAGGGATAAAAAATGGAGAGAAATAAGTGCGGTGTTCGATTTTTGCCGGACGACGACGAGCGCTTCGTACGCCTTAAGGAAACACTATTCGACTCTCCTCCACCGCTACGAACTCGTTTACTTCTTCAAGCTGCTTGCCCCAACAGGTACACCCTCACCATTTGCTTCTCTTTTTGTTTTTTATTTTATTTTATTTTATTTATTTATTTATTTATTTATAAGTGATTTAAATAAAAATAAAAATATTGTACGATACATAAGTCCATTTTGGGTGTTTTCTATGGTGGACCCGTAAATGGTAAAAAAACAGGGTATTATCCAGAGTGGAAAATCTTGGACCAATTAAAAGTGTTAATGCATTAATTGAAGTTCTAAGTTGTTGATAATTATTTAATGAAATAGGAGCCACATATCATTTAATTTTCTTCTGCCACAAACGTTACTGTTCAACTCCTATATGGCCATTGGACAATTTTGAATTATATTTGACCAACTAAAATCATAATAACAACAAAAATGCATGTATGAAATAATCTAATCGATCGATAGGCGGGTCGATCTGTCATATTATTTGAATAAAAATGCATATTTGTATTATCAAATGTCGTACGAAATTCGTATATTATTTTTTAAAGTGTGACACATTTTAATAAAAAAAATATGTATTCGATATTTTATTTATATTTTGTAAAGGCACTCCTCCTTCATTCCAAGCAATGGGAACCATCGACGGGAAATTCGACTGCGGTTACCTAGTCTCGGTTAAACTTGGAAACGAGACGCTTAATGGCGTGCTCTATCATCCGGGCTACATGGGTTCCTCTGATTCGGCCCAACCCACATGCACCTCCATCATACCTTACACTCCACAGTTCCATCCACCGGCCCGTAGGGCCAGGAGGAGACGTGCTGGCGAACCGGGCCGCCCGAAGCCCAACAGGAGCGGGTACAATTTCTTTTTTGCAGAAAAACACGCAAAACTCAAGTCTCTCTACCCTAACAAGGAGAGGCAGTTCACGAAAATGATAGGCGAGGCGTGGAATAATCTGTCGCATGAGGAGAGGGAGGTAAACTTACAGAAACTCGTGAACTTTTTGAAGGTCGTTTTTTAATAGCCTTTGTTTTCATTTTTTAATAATTTAGGGATGCAAACTTGTAGGTTTATCAGAGCTATGGAGTAAAGGATAAGGAAAGGTACCAGAAGGAAATGAAGGAGTATAAGGAGAGACTGAAAACGAGGCAAATCTGTTGACTATGGCAAGACGACGTGCAGTTGAACAGGAAAAAGAAAAACTTCTAGCAAGTAGGAGATTCAGAAAGTGGATTGACATTGAATTGAATAGATTTCATGTTAGCTGATGATTATTTAGATTTCTGAGAACAAGTGCTTTTAGAAATAGACCTTTTGGTGATCGACTTATTTTCATTTTCCCCTGATGAGATGCCTTGGTTTGCAAAAAGATCCTTTTAATAGAATCTTGATTCGTAAACTGTAAGATGAAGTATTTGACAAAATAATACCTAGTATAGAATACACATATAATGATCCCAGTTAACAACTCTTATCATATGCTATACTCTTGTGTTGTTACAATATGTTGTAACCCATAAAATTTATCATATAAAATGATGACAATGAGATAGAAAAGGCAACAAAACCATGTGGGTAGGATATAATCATTTAAAGGCCAAAAAACTTTAAGACATGGGAGTGCAGAGAGAGGAGCCAAAGTTTCAGAACAAGGTTAGTGGGCACCTGTTAATAGTTAACCAGCATTTCTTTGATCAGGATTTCCTGTTTAAACCATGAAAGAAACGATGTTTTCTGCTCTTAGTGTGCTTCCGGAAAGCTCTTGAGACAACATATGGAACAAACTGTACCTGCAGAGGATCGAAAAAGTTTTATTCGCACAATATAACTGGATATGGAAGACTGGAAGACCCCACGAAACTGAATTACTATAATTGACGGTCAAATTTAAGATCAACTAGTGTATTGTTGTTGAATCAGTTCAAAATATTTAGCTTTAGCGTCATCAGTCATGTAAGAAGAATCTACAGAAAGGCCACATGCAGAAAGCCCATAATTTTTTCGGAGAAAATGTAGAATAAAAAGTCTCAAAATAACATACTTGAGAATTGTTTCTCAGGCCGTAATCGTGAAGTGAAGCATTGTCATCGAGTAGCTTCTCGTTGCGGCATGAAAGGCAGAAGTTTGCCCACACATGCTTCCTACAAGATCATAGAAGGCATTTTTCTCAGTTTTTCAGGAACATCTACTAAACATTGGCATAATTCCATTTTCTTTCCCACTATAGTTGTATCTACATTCCAAAATCTTTTTCTCTTCACATTGGACAAGGGCAAAAACGACAACATTACACAACAATTACAAGACTGAACTGCAGAATATGTCCCAATGGAAACCAAAATGCACATTCAGAACAATACCAAGAAATATGCCGATGACCCATGCTCGACTCCTCCGCATCGTTCACCTTCTTATTAATCGCCAATTTCAAGTCCTTCACGGTTGCAGAATTCATCACCACGACCTCTTCACCCCTCACAAAATTAAATAAAGATCAAAACAAGTATCTCCACATTTGGCGCTCACAAGGTGTTTGTGAAAATGAAAAGCAGAAAAAAAAAAAATATATATGAAGTAGTGCGTACCAAAGGATGTGTCGTCCAATTTGAGGACTGTGATGCGCATGGCGCTGCCCAGCTCCAAGCTGATGAGAGTCTCCACATCGGAAAGAGAAGGCTTCTTGGGCACGTCGGATAGAATCGGATCGCCGAGAAGCGCCGCCAAAGTTGATTCTAATCGAGCTTTCTTTATGCTGCTGTTGTTGTACTCCGGCACGGCGGTGCTAGTTCCGGCCTCCTCTGTTTCTGCTTCGTTACTTTGCGCATCCATCTCTTGTTGAAATTGAGAGGAATTATTTATTTTTAGTTTTGCCAAATTGTGCCTTTTGTACCCGTTGGTGTGGCGCTACTATAAAGGGTTGCTCATGGGCGGTGCGCCCTCCTGGGACCTAAAAAGATAAAATACAAGTCTAACTCTACTTTCTTTTTTTTTTTTGGTACAGGGACCTTCCGGTTTCCGGATCTACAGGAGAATCGACTAATCCAGAATCGAGCCGGGTAGGACCACAAGGACGGCAAAGCTCTCCCTCAAGAGTTATTAACACTGCTGCATTCTCAGGGCTCGAACACGAGACCACTGGTTAACTCTACTTTCTAGTTTCTATACAACGTACATACTTTTAAAATGAAACAACATACTATAAGTTACCAAGACTCTAATAAGTTCTTATGTAGTAAAATCTATTGTTTACATTTGCGAAAAAGTTGGTATATATAAGCGTTCTCGGTTGGTGGACGGGGCTTGGGCCAGCGCTCCTCTCCTCCTCGTCTGGTGACCCATGTTTGGGGCTTCTTGAGTTGTGATAACGTGAGTGGTGGGGGAAGAGGAGTTGCGGGCCTCCATGTGTTCCTCCGGTGTGAATCCGTTCGCGAGTGGGACTACACTAAGGTGTTAGTATGCCGTAAGCTAGCTCCGTCTTGGAGAAGGAAGTTCCTTAGTATGCTTCTCGAGTTGTGGTCTTGCTTTCTTGGGTTCGTTTTCTGGTGTCTGGCTTAGGTGGGTTGTCAGGATCCTCTTACCGGCTGTCGATGAGGGCTTTTTTGTAGTTGTTGTGTGTTTGGTTTAGATTAGCACTATATTTGTTTTGTGCATTTATGTGCGTTGTGTTTTTTTTTTTCCTCTTTAGGA